CTGCTATACTGTCTCCTATGGCGGAGGTTCAGTCATGGTTTGGGGTGGAATATGTTTAGAGGCACGAACAGAGTTGGTAGTGGTTAATGGCGCTTTAAATGCAGATGTCTTTATACGAGATGTTCTTCAACAGCATGTCATACCATTTGCCCCCCAAATCGGAGAAAACTTCTTGTTAATGCACGATAATGCCCACACTCACGTGGCTCGTGCTAGCTCCAACTTTTTAAATACAGTCGAAATAAGAGCAATGGATTGGCCTGCATGTTCACCAGATCTTAATCCAATCGAACATCTATGGGACATGTTGGGTAGACGATTAAGGTCCAGAATTCCCGCTGTACAAAATCCCGAGCAAGTAGCAGCAGCTCTGGTTGAGGTTTGGGATAATCTTCCCCAAGAATAATCGATAATGTCATCGAAAGCATGAGCAGACGGATGACTGATGTGATAAGAACGCGTGGAGGTCACGCACGTTATTGAAATTATTGTTGGTGTTTTGAATCCTTATTGTTTGTTGAGTTAATGTTATTGTTATTGAATGAATATTTCTAAGAAATTTTGTCACAATAGACTAATATGTGAAAAGAGAGCAATTTTCAACTTGAAGGGGAAATAATCTCAGAAACAACTCAAGAAACGACACATTTTCAGATCCAATTCGAGTTTCGAGGTGGTTAAATTAATACCAATTTCCACCTTCTCTTTGATACTCTGTATTTTCTTGAATAATTGACATATCAAGATGAATAAAAAACGAAAATATTCGGAATATATTGGGATACAATTTGGTGTTGATAAATCGTCTCAATTATCAGTGGTTCACTCCACAGGATGTCTTAAAAAATACCGAAAAATCCGTTCTTTCTTTACACCCCTGTATATGATATAAGGACGAATCGTTTGAAGGTGGTTATTTCTCAGATATATAGTGAAAAAAAAAATCAAATCGAGCGATCGGTTCGAGAGAAAATTGATGTCAAACTTAGTGTAAATTTTGTCCCTTCCCCTAATTGTGCCAGTGTGTGTAGTTATTTATAGACCAAGGTAGTAAAGAATATCATTATTACCCAGGGACCAAAATTATACTCCTTGGCTCAAGCCTCGGGTATAAGTCCCGTGATGATAATATTCTTTACTACCAAGGTTTATATCGAATTTTTTTAGGCATATGTCGAAAACCATTAGGTCAGAAAAATCCCCTATGTTTATTGTAGTTGATGTATGAATTAGAAGACCAGGACCAATTGGTAGCATATTCCGATAGAGTAATCTCCCGTAATCTCCAAATGAATTTTCTGTTTTTAATTATCTTTCGTCCATTATTTCCCTCATGAGGGTAAATGTAGAGGTACTGAATTGTTTGTTCATTATTCATGGTAAATTTCTTCATCAACTTTGCCCCAATTGAACCATTCGTATCTTTTATAGTTTCCCAGATCCCAATGGTGAAGATTGAATTTGATACACCCGGTATAAACTAAACCATCTCTTTTTTCAAGCTAGAACAGTGTTTTAGGAATTCGCTATGAACTAGGTCGGCATTTCATGAATCTCATTTTCATTTTGTCGAACTGCATTCTTCAAATTCATCGAGCGAATGAAGAAGTCATGAATTTGTTATGTTAATTAAACAGAGGTCGTTGACTGTTATCGCTGAGAATATTAATTACAGAGAAGCGGTCACAAATAAATGATAACTACCAGATATTTTATCTTTATATAACGATTTATCATGGCCACCAGTGATGCGCTCGTGTCCATTTGAATAATTTTTATCCACTACCTACTTACTTGCTCTAGAACACACCCTTTATGAGGCGGTTCAGCTTCAGCTTTTTATCATTTGGCGACCTATTCGAGTAGTTTACACTATCTTGTGGACATTCTGTACCTGTTTGGTTATAAAGCTATAGAAAAGTTCGAGGAAGAAGTTGTAATAAATCAGAAAAGTCAGCAACCTTTCACTTTGCTATAGATACCTACTTCCACCAATACCGGTCAGCACATCCTTACGTCGTTAACCTTGAAATATGTCGAACAATAACCTACTAAAACTCTTTCGTCTGTAGAACGACGAAGGTTTGAAATTCTTTGCCAATGGAAGTACTACCAAGCACTTATAACTTCCAAAATATTCCAACACTAATCTTCTCTCCCTATTCTCTCTAGGTACGCACGATGTTCCACGAACATTATAGGAATTTCCTTTCGTGCGCTCCAAGAGATAAAAAAAGACAAAATTGTCCCCTTAGAGGCCTTGGGTCAAAAATATTATATTTATTATTTTTAAGCTCATTATTTCAGTTATTTTAGTGTTATAATAATGTGGTCCTATTTAAATCTCTCCCTATATCTGAATTGATGAAATAAGAATAAAGAAAATGTGAAAATAGGTAGGTTGTTTCATATGAAAAATTATTTTAATTCAGGTGAAATCATGTAACTTTTTTCCATAACTTCTTCAACAAAAAACCTTAACACATTTTAACCTAACCTGTATTGCACATTGGAACACAACACAAATCAGTAGCACCTCGTAGAGGGTGTGAAGGGTACTTCACAACAGTACCTTCAACATACCGTGGAATTTGAAACATCTTAGCTTACTCCAAGCCAAGAGTTACCTCTCGTCTGGAAATAGTTATTTATTAATTATAATACAAGGGAAAAAAGTTGTAGATTTTAGGGTTGTATTGTCTCCCGACGCATACCGGAGGGAAAGAAAAAACCGTGAGTTAAAATCTAATATTTTTCCCGTGAATCCTGCATAGCTCTTTCTCGGAGACGGTGTTATTGGCTTATATTTCGGAACTAGAGCACAATAAAAGCCATCAACAGTGTATATGTCGGCGTCAATTAGTGAAATCCGTCATTCCCTGAAATGCCTAGTCATTTCACGTATTGTCGGCAAACAGCGTAACCGAGCGTAACTTACATTTTCAGCCGTTACTCTGTTTGCCGGAGGGTTGAGGAATGAAAATATCCTTTCTGCATATGCATAAGAAGGGAGACTATTTTTCCGCCTAAATGAATCATCTTCCTAGAACGTACAGTCGTATTCAATAAAAAAGCGTACAAGTATTAAAAAGAGGATTTCGGGATCCTAGTTCTAGTTGTGTAAAACTGGCTCAGCCAATGCTTTCTGTTTTCGAGAACCTATGACAACTTTACTGTCAACATTTGGTGAACAATCATTCCCGATAGCTCGTTTCATGCAGAATAGGATGACGTTAATTTCTCTCTGTAATATACTTGTACGCTTTTTTTTTAATGCGACTGTACAGATTCAGAAAATTACCTGAGAGAACAGAAGAGACTACTGCATCTAAACAACCTGAGCTGACACGGCTGAATGAACCTTGCTTCCGTCATTACAGAGGGAATGCCTGAATCTATTATAGGCAAACGTTGTACGAAATTTAGAGTTACGCTGTTTGCAGGCAATACGTGAAATGACTAGGCATTCCAGAGAATGACATATTTTACTGTTTGACGCCGACATATATATACATTATATATCTCCGGGAAAAAAGTACTCACTCTTTTTCGTGGAAAAAAAATTTTATGAAATAGTTATTTTTGTATCTAGAGCGCGAAATGCTACTTTGGTGATCGAGATTTGATCGAGAAAATAGTCGAGATGACCAAATTATTTCGCGCTCGAGTTGCAAACAACATTTTTTCTACAAACGTCAAAAAATATAGTTCTGAAGTGAAAATATGTTTTGCTTGATATAAAAAATGGTGTTGAACTGGCTTGAAAGGCCTCCCCCTATCCTCCCTAGGTACGCACGATGTTCCACGAACATAATAGGAATTTCCTTTCGTGCGCTCCAAGAGAAAAAGCGAAGTTATTGTTGAACATTCAGGAATAAATGATTTCGTGGTTGTTTGCTCGATTGAGGACCATACAGTTTAAATACATATAAATATCTCATATAGTTTACAATGGTTTACATAACAATGTGCGAAGTAGGTTCTTCGCGCACTGTTTTACTTCGCGCATTGTTTTGTGCAAGGTATCATGGTAACGTAGGAAACTGGAAAAAAATGTCACTTCGCAATTCGTTATCAATGCGCGAACCTTGTCATTTTTTGACGTTTGTAGAAAATAGTAATTTTCCTAACAAGTGCGGAAAGTGATTCTTTCCCGCACGCGACTGCCGTTGACACGAACGACGCGAAGCGGAGTTCGGGCAAGCAGTCGAGTGCATTATGTATAGGTTCATTGCGGAAGCCAGCAGTCCTATAAGGTGTTTGATCTATAGGTTTCAGACACTTCTAGGAAATGAGCCAAAAATACATCTTCTTTATTCGGTATTTTCATTTCTTTATTGTTACACTATTAAATAAAACGCGTGTATAGCTTCTCATACCTTTCTTGGCAATAACGCATTTATATCGCATCCCTATAGCTGGAAGTTTTTGATCACATTGTGGCAATTCCACTGAATCGAAGATGACAGTAACGCTGTGTCTGTCACTTCGACAATGACAAACTCATTTGAAGTTTGATTGGTATGACAACAATAATCGTTTCCCATCAGATCAATCCAAATCTATAGGGGGATTTTTATAATAATCAATTTTTATTGTTCAATATTTCTTAATTTTCACAATAAATAGTGCAATTTGATGGATGATTCTGAACATACATACTCAATACTGTAACAAACAAACTCAAACTCTCATATTTCATCACCTACCACTTATATTTTGCCATATTATATCTTTGTTTTTCCCGTAATGTTGCGGGAAAATGACACTTCCCAAACTGTAGAAAAAATGGCATTTCATAACCTGTCAAGAGATGAAATTTCAAACTTTCTTCCCGTCAAAGAAAAAATTGATTTTTTCATGAAATGTGTGTCTATATGATTATTTCTTGTTGTAGAGATCAACAGTCGAGATGTCACAGGAGAGGAGGGGCCAACGACAGGACGACGATCAGGAAAAAAGATAATCCGAAATCGTTGCTGATTTGTTGCCACCATGACATGTGCAATCACGTCGAGAGCCCTCAAACCAGAAATCTCATGAACGACACTCTCTTAGGTGAGGATTCAAATTATTGTTTATTTTGGGCACTTGAGGCAGTACCTAACAAGGGAACAATGGTAATCGTTTGTTGAAAAAATAACTTGCACATCCATTGATCCATTGCGTGGCGTACTTGATTTCCAACAGCTGTTATTGAATAATGAATAATAAAGATTGGATTGAGTAATATTTGATATTTGACATCCCATCGTTCTGTCGAATTGGAATATTAATTCTACGAAAACACAAAACAATCCTATTGTGGAAAATATTACTATTTACAAATAAATATTTCTTATTCTGAACCTGAATAAGACAATTATACGCGTAAATAAACGTTTATAACGTCATATTTTTCAAAATATTCCATGTTTCGGTAACTCAAGAAATATTATCGTTTATTGTGAGAACCTCACCGTAACATAACTCTGGTAACGTTGCCGTATATTCTTGAATTTCTAGGTATATTGGAACAGTCTGAAATGATATGAAATAATGATAATTTGATATCCCACTGAAATTATGAAATTTTAATTTTTACACATGCCAGACCCTCGTAAACATTGCAAATAAGGATTAATAAGGAATGTATATTGCATCTCCATTCATAAATGTTAATTCCTATCAATTCTGAGAGCGGCGCCACTCTCTGGATACAATTTTTTGCCATGCAAGGGTTTCGTAGTCCCTATCTTTTTAGGTTAATTTTTCATTTTGAGTGAATGAAAAAATTAGTACATATTTGTGAAGATCTAATCTACGTTGCTGTCATTTCACTTTATCGAAATTTGATTCAGTTTTTCCTAGAAAAAATCGCAAAATAACGTGTTTTTTTATGATTGTCCAATATTTTTTTTTTGAAGAACCGAATCGAATTTCGAAAAAGATCTTCACGAATATGTACAATTTTTTTCATCTACTCAAAATGAAAAATGACCCTGAAAAGTTGGGGACTACGAAACCCTTGCATTATTGCTTTATATCATAGTACAACAAAATGGTGAAATACACCGCAGACGAAAACTCCGAATTAAACAGTCATACTCCTTAAATGAAATATAAGATTATGTTTGCAAAAGATTTTTCGTTTGAAAATGACGAGTACATTCGTTATGATCAGCAGAATGAACAAGAAACAGTTGTTCAGCAAGATTCCATAGCATCTGAATCGTTTTTTGAACCTAAAAGCATTTTTCAATGAAATAATGATAAAATACAATAGGGAATTTCACCATGATTTTTTGTTTTTTTTTTCACGATGTAGAACACATACTGGGTGAATTCAGCAATTTTTCAATTTTCTTACGATTGCGGTTGACCCAAAAAAAAAATATTAAATTGAACCTAAATTCAAACGATAGCTCAAATGCGCGCGAAATATTGATGGCATTTCATTGGACGAATACAAGGTGCGTCACACCGCGTCATACACTTCGGACGGACATTCTCATTGGGTAATTCGTCTTGTCACTTGGTCTTGTCACCATTTGTCATTGCATTTGTCACTCAATAAAAACTATAATAGTGATATTCTTTCGTTCTGAACGTACTGACACATTTCACTTGAACTGAACTGAATCAGTTGACATGCAATGAACGTCATTTGAAAGAACGCATATTAACTGATTCAGTTCAGTTCAAGTGAACTATTTCAGTTAATTCAGTTTGAAAGAATATCACTAATATGACACTGGTAGATCACTGAAATTGAAATGAAATAATGAACTATGAACTAGATTTCGAGGTTAATCTTTTTCTTCTTCTATAGTTCGTTTTGTAGCCATTTTTCTCTCAAGTCACAGATCGCCCAACCACTCTGTGCTTGAGTTCTGTCTGTGGTTTTGTGCAACGCAGCCTCTTTGGGTCATCAGAGGGAGCCTCAAGAAAATACAAGTGACGTCACACCGCGAAAAATGGTCGTTTGGAACTCTCTCAATTTGTAGCACTTTTGAAGTATTAATTAAACGGTTGTAAAGGAATCAAAAGATGAGAGGAAGTGCTATTTGATATACTGAGTCATGTAAAAAGGGCTATTTTCAGTCATAGTGAAATTGCCTATTAGTATGGTGAATCTGCTAGTTATTAGTGTTATTTTATAGGAATATACTTCTAATGATGCTCTTTTTGAATATGTTGTGTCAGAAGAAATGTTCTAATAAATGTACAGGGTGTCCAGTTTTCGATGCTTTTGCCTGATATCTCAGTTATAGAACCTTGCAGTTTCGCGGTCCTATGACACTTTTTTGTGAAACTCAAGATGGCCTAATCAGATTTTGCATAACTGTTTCCGTTTATGAGATACGGGGCGATTTTGAAAATTTATACTTTTTGAACCCCTTCTATATCTACGAAGTTCCTTAGCGAAAATGACAAATCTTATCCCATAGAGAATTTTACGCAGAATCCAGTGGCGCACTCAATTTTTTTCCGGGTTATGGTTTTGCAGATACGGCACAAACTTATGATTTTTCAAATGGAACACCCTGTATTTTATAAGCTCATTAAATTCCTTATCTTTCCCTTCAAAATAATATATGATGTATAGATATAGAATTTTAAAAAATGCTCAAAAATCACTGAAACATTGAATTGTAATAGTGGGCTATGGAATTTTCATATAAAAAAGTTCCCATTTGAGGAATATTTCTATCGATTTTTCCATGAACAGGACAAAAACAATATCAACACTAATTAATTAACAAAACACAAAAGTTAGGTATCTGAAAGCAACAAGTAAATAGTAATAAAAAGTTTATAATGTAGAATAAGCACATGATTGAATATTTACTAAAACAATTGAATTTCGAATTTATTCAGTAACTTATTTATTCATTGAATTGTCCATTTTTTCTAACACATAATTGACACACTACACACTTTCTCAATACGTCTTAATACAAAGAGGCACAACAATCTTGAAGAACTTCGTGCAACAATAATAGATGCAGTTTTCCAGAAATTAAAAAGACATCATTTAACGATTTTGAATGCATGAGACGTATTGAGAAAGTGTGTGAGGGAAAATGGATATCAATTTGAACAATTCAATGAAAAAGTTACTGAATAATTTGGAAATTCAATTGTTTTAGTGAATATTCAATCAGGCGCTTATTCTGAATTATTAACTAATATAATAATATAATTTATTTACCAATACCAAAAATGCACTCTATGACCAAGTGGGGTCATCTTCAGTGATATACACTGCTCGCCAACAGCCATGGAACCAACCCAGTTTCCGGAAAATGATATTAGGAGTTAAAATGGGTTGGAAATCACTTCGGATTCAGATTCAGTACACCGAATTCACTAACTATTCATATTTTTCCTGAAAACTGAACTGAAAAATTTCCAGGAAAAATATGATAGTGAATTGGGCGTCCTGGATCCGAATTCGACCTATTGGACCTATTTTGACTCCTATCATCATTTTCCTGAAATTGGGGTGGCTCCATGGCTGTTGGTGAGCAGTGTAAATCACTGAAGATGACCCCACTTGGTCATAGAGTGCATTTTGGGTATATCTCTCGCTCCAGCAAATTTCAGGATCCTAACCCAACGATTACGTAAGATACACCATTAGAAGTGAGACACACTGTATAAATCAAAATGTTGAATTTGTTTCTAATTTATTTCAGATGATGTGACACAAGACACGGCGAACAGATACCAGCAGCAAGATACGTTTTTGTACTCAGACTCGGACGTTTGGTTCAGAGCAGCCACTATAGCTGTTCCCATCTGTGGAGCTGTCATTCTTTTCGTTCTCATCGCCTTGGCTGTGAAAATTCTCAAGAACGAACATCAAAGTTCTGCTATGCACAAATTGGGGTGAGTACACACATTTATATTATATGGTAATTATACAAGGTAGGGTGTCAAGGTAAGGTTTAGTTTGTCTAACTTCGACGGTTGATAATTGAATCAAAAATTTTATATACAGTTGTATTAAAAAGAAACCTACACGTATTACTAGAGAGAGAAATGAGTAAGTTTCGTTCAGATGATTTTTCATAAAATGAGTTCGGAACTCTCCAGTTTTATGTCCACGCTGTACAGAATGTCGACCAATAAAGTCAAAGTCGTTTTCATTTTCAAATTAAAGTAATTTTTTAATTCGGGGGCAAACTGTGACTACATTCTGAATCTAGTCTGAAAATAGCTGATGGTGAAGAATATAGCTAGCGAATAGCTAACGCATAGCTAACGAATGAAAAACGAATGAAAAAAATAGAAGAAGAAGTAAAACTGGTAAACAAAAACATACATAACCACAAATGCACTCGAAGCAGGAATGCAGAGGGTAGTTGGCTTCATTCTGACAGGTTATGGTTTTGTTATTTATGCATTGAAATATCTCGAATAGAGCTCAATACTGAACGAAAACATCATTGAATCGATGAATCACTATCGGCTACATATAATTCACTGTCATCGGTCAGAACAGAATGAAGCCGAAACCCATGGCTCCTTTCTCTTGTTGTGCCTGTCAGTATTTTGAGTGGTGTGGACGGACTCGAAGTATTAGGCGCTGTTGCAAGATATAATCTGCAACTTTCCTAGAAAATAGATCCGTTTTATTAAGGAACGAATTCATTAGCAAAAAAATGACTGACAATAAGTTATGAATAACATATTGTAATATAACGATAGTGAAAAATTATAGATACTATCGCGAAATTTCATAATTTATCAACTTCATTCAGCCAAAGTAGGATTGAAGAACCTATTATATCCCATTGCTGTTATGATATATTTAATATGCATACAAAAGAACAATTTCCGTAAATCTAGACATATTGATGATGTCGGCAACGTCATACTGACACAGTAATGGTGGAGGAGCCAAGTTCCTCTTTTATTTATTTTTTTCTGAAGTGAAATTTGATCTTACGAAAAAGAGAAAAAATACGTTTATGTTAATTTTTTACAAACGTGATCCTATTTGTGTAAAACGGACTATCGGGAATGATTTTTTACCAAATATTGACAGTTGTCATAAGTTGTCAAAAATAGGAAGCATTGGCTGAGCCAGTTTCACACAACTAGAACTAGGATGACGTTAACCTCTCTTTTTAATATTGTACGCTTTTTTCTTGAATACAAACTGTACTTTTTATTTCGTTTCCTGGTGGAGATACTGTGGTTTCCAAGATACATGCAGGTCGAGATGCAGGTACTATAAGCAATATAAATATTTATATGGTACATATTAAATTCTGATAAGTTTTATGTGAAAATAGCAGATATAAAATGAAAATAGATTTTTTTTTCTATTTGGTGGGTTAATAAATTAACAAGCTAATGTTATGTTGTGCCAACACTGATCTAGAGAGCTGGGAGTAGATGTCAGCTGTCAATTTCTGTTTATTTATTTATAATGTGAGCATTTCAATGTACCAGGAGCTGTCAAGATCCAACATAACTTTCCGCATTGTATAGGTGGTAACACATTCATTATCCCTTCAATATCCTAAAGATACAAAAATTTACTGTCGATATATTTCCTTCAAGTATCAACTATTCAGTGATTCGAGGAACTTGTTTATACTTATAAATCTATAAATATACGCATCTATTTATAGTGATCCTACTAATAGTTATTTATGATAATTCTATTATATACACCTGTTAATGGGCAATCGCCTGACGCCTGCTGGATATATCAATATTAAATAAATAAATGAATAATAAACATTTGAAACACTTCACAGAGGATAAGATTTCCACAAAATTCTTATTAACACATTTCATATGTTACTAACACAATAGCTTCTTCAATTGAAATACTTATACAAACCTAGTAGGTATGCTTCAAAGGTACCAATGGACAATCAGACACTTTCCATCATTATATCAATACAATTCATCCGAATTGAAGAAATCACCATGGAAATAGAAACAGAAAATTCAGCTAATTTCTTAGATTTGACAATAAGTAAAATTCACGATAAACATGAATTATCAATTTTTCGTAAACCTTCCCATAATAAAATCAATCCTCATCAAATAAGATAGCAGCATATATTAGTATGACTCATAGTCTAGTCTGGTGAATGTCCCCCTCTCAGGGGTAAATTTCAATAAAAAAACTCAATATCATAAAACAGATAGCAGTATAACGGGAGCAGATTCGTTCTCGAAACGTCTTAAGACAAGTAAAAATTCGATGTGTCACTAACAAGATATTCTATTTTTCTTTTGGGCTCCCTGATAGGAAAATTTGTTGAACGCAGTGACATTTTGGGACAAATCAGATGATTGTCTACGAATATATTGAAATAATACGCATATTTTAATTTTTTAGAAAATAGGAGAAAATTCCAAAAAATCAAGTAAAATGAGTATGTTTATCATTTATGAGTGAATCTTCGAGCTTGGTATATTCACTATATATAAAGATTGTTTTATAGTAAGATTGTTTTATAGTAAGTTTAGTGCTTATGGAGTTACAAAATATGAATAGTTATTTAACCAACTAGTGTATTAATGATCATTAATCGTCTATTAATATACGAGTTGGTTACAAAATTTTTCCGTCGACTACATTTCTCATTTCTCCTGCAAAGAAGAAAACTTGGTTCGCGAATTCATCATTCATCTGGAAACTACTAAGAATCACCCAGTAGCCTTGTTACTGACATTAGTGACATTTGACATTTGTCGAAATGATCAACATAGAATATCAATTCCTTGTGTTAGATTAAAACACAGATTAAAATCGTTTCAGAAACTTGGAAAGGCGAACTCGTTAACGGAAAATCTTCGATGAAATCCATATTTTCGATATAAATGCAGATTCCGTAAGTTATAGCATAAACAATGAATGCACGTGGTGTATGTTTGGTTGCCTATAAAACAATCGTGCATTGATAGACAAATTGATCATTAATAGGGGTCATTAATGAACGATTTCATAAACATTATACTTATTACTTGTTAATACGAGGTCGACGGAAATGATAGTGACCCACTTCTAATGGAACCACCCCTGTATCTTACGTAATCGTTCACTCCAGATTTGGAATCAGAATGCCCAATTTACTAACTATTCAAATTTTTCCTGGAAAATTTTCAGATCGGAAAAATGAAATTTTGTCGCATTTTTTATGGAAGCACCCCCGTATCTCACGTAATTATTGAGGTAGGGTTCTGAAATTTGCCGGAGGAAGAGAAAGTCCAAAGATAATAGTAGATTGTTTTATTAGGATCAAAAGTGACACTTTGTTTGACAAGCGAATTTTGCATTTGCGAGGCGGAGCGTTTAGCGAAGCCGAGCGAAAGCAAAATTTGCGAGTCGAACAAAGTCACTTTTGATCCGAATGAAACATGCTATTTTTTCTGCAACCGAAACAATTAACTCAAATAAACATGTGGAGTAACCACCAATGCCGTGCCATATGTATGCAATGCAACAAATATTGACAAATAATCCATGTGGTGAGAATATTCTACCTGCATTAACAGCAGGTTAGGTTTTCTAGGATGTTCGAATTGTAGTTTCAATATAAATACAACCACAGATTGACATATTTGTGTATGGACCAGGTGCTCTAATGGCAAAGACGTGGAAAATGTTAGGTTAGTGAGCATATCAACAATGATAATAGTGATTAAGTATTCCTCTCCATACTACACTGTGTTTAACTTGATGATCAAAATGAAGCTAAACAATATCGTTGTTTGAGACAAAAAAACTATTGCTTGCCGTGATTATTCAAAAACAAGTTATCCATCCCGAGAATAACGAATGAAATACAGACAGATCAACCAAGTATTTGAATCTTGAAGGCTTCCCTGATCAAAACAAAAATACTTAACTGAGATGTTTATAATTCCAATACTGAACTATAATAAAGGTGTATTTATATCTCGAGCATGGATATGAAACGCTAAATCTGCTGAAATCGGAAACAAATCAGGTATGCGTCTCAACCCAAATAACCAACCGTCAAAATGTTGTTTATTCTTGATGACGTCCAGTAGATCCTTTTTAGTTCCTAGGAGCTAAAGTTCAACTTTAGCTCCTAGGAACTAAAATTCAACTTTAGCTCCTAGGAACTAAATATGTTGCCTAGCAACATACCTATGTTTTTGTCAGTAATAGAAACGTCAATTTAAGAGCTAATTTTGGTATCAAAATGGACGACTTTTGTGTCGGTTGCAGAAAATAGATTGTTTTATTAGGATCAAAAGTGACACTTTGTTTGACAAGCGAATTTTGCATTTGCGAGGCGGAGCGTTTAGCGAAGCCGAGCGAAAGCAAAATTTGCGAGTCAACCCAAATAACCAACCGTCACAATGTTGTTTATTCTTGATGACGTCCAGTACATCCTTTTTAGTTCCTAGGAGCTAAAGTCGAACTTTAGCTCCTAGGAACTGAAATTCAACTTTAGCTCCTAGGAACTAAATATGTTGCCTAGCAACATACCTATTTTTGTGTCAGTAATAAAAACGTCAAATTAAGAGCTAATTTTGGTATCAAAATGGACGACTTTTGTGTCGGTGGCAGAAAAAGTCAATTATGCGACAAAATTTCATTTTTCAGAACTGAAAATTTTCCAGGAAAAATTTGAATAGTTAGTAAATTGGGCATTCTGATTCCAAATCTGGAGTGATTTTCGCCCTATTTTGGCTCCTAATATCATTTTCCGGAAATTGGGGTAGTTTCATGGCTGTTGGCGAGCAGTGTATATCACTGAAGGTGACCCCACTTGGTCATAGAGTGCATTTTTGGTATATCTCTCGCTCCAGCAAATTTCAGGATCCTTACCTAACGATTACGTAAGATACAGGGGTGGTTCCATTAGAAGTGGGTCACACTGTATATTAATAAACATCGGATTTTAATCGTTTATGAAAATATTTAAATATTTGTTTCAAATATTTTCAATATTCCCAATATTTCCGAGACACGTTCGGAAATTTCCAATATTTCCATTTCCAACACTAACTATGGCCAAGTAGTGAGTAAATACCAAAAATGAACATTTATTTTTCAGTCCGACAATGTACGTGCATGCCATGCCTCAGCAATCCAAACCTGTCAAAGAGAAGTGCCCTCATGACACCTTCGACAGGACGTACAGCAATCTGCTGAGGGAAGGCTACGTTCCCACACACCACAACACCTGCCACCCCAGTCCCACCGCGGACTACCAGAGGCATCACCAGGTGCCTCTGCTCGCCCCCAGCGAAGCAAAAAATACCACCAACGCTAGGTACAACTTTTTGAATCGGGACGCGGATTCCCGAACAACCTTCGTGTTGGATATCGAGAAAAACCAGTCTGGTTGCTCGGAAGTGAACGTGGCGAATGGTTCGGGTGATGCCAGTAAATTTTATACGGGAAAGACTTTTGTTTCTTAGATATGATTGCCGAATCGACTGCTTCTTTTTAATGTTGTATCGTACTTAGAGATTTAACTGTGGATGGTATTCACTAGCAAGCTGTAGATGGAACGTTTCAATGTATGACTATAGTAGAAGTCATTTATAACAATTTATTAGGGGTGTCAAATTGAATGATATATTATTCAATCGTTCATCATCTCGAAATATCAAGAAATTGTCCGACGAATTAAGAGACCACCGTTCACAATACCTATCGACGACAACTGACAAACGTCGAGCAACTACGTATCAAGATGGCGCTGAATACTTTATGTTCCATGGAATATAGGTCAGCAACGAATATTTGCCGAATGTTTCCAATCTGAATTAGTCGTTTCTAAATCCTCATTATGAGAAACAAATCATCAATTCAAGGTGACGCAGGATTCCTACACTTTTACTCACCACCACAAAACATGTCATCCCAGTCCGACCAGGGACTACCAGAGGCATCACCAGGTGCCTCTGCTCGCGCATAGCGAAGCAAAAAGTACCACCAACGCTAGGTACAACTTTTTGAATCGGTAAATAAATGCAAAAAGCTCAAAGTCATATCCACACAGTGTTCATAAACTGAACAACAATGGTAGATTTCGGGAGAAAAACAACTACTTCCCTGGCTAATGCCACGCAGGATATTGAATTACATCCTCCCGAAATCTATGCATCGACTCGTATAAACGAATACTGATACAAGTGATTCTTTTCTGAATCGGGATGCGAATTCCCGAACAACCTTCGTTTTGGATATCGAGAAAAACCAGTCTGGTTCCTCGGAAGTGAACGTGGCGAATGGGTCGGGTGATAACAGTAAATTTTATACGGGAAAGACTTTTTTCTCTTAGATAGGGTTGCCGAATCCACTGCTTCTTTTAAATGTTGGATCGTACTTAGAGATTTATCCGTGGATGGTATTCACTAGCAAGCTGTAGATGGAACGTTTCAATGTATGACTATAGTAGTAGTCACCTCTATAACAATTTATTAGGGGTGTCAAATTGACTGATATATTATTCAATCGTTCATCATCTCGAAATATCAAGAAATTGTCCGACGAATTAAGAGACCACCGTTCACAATACCTATCGACGACAACTGACAAACGTCGAACAACTACGGAGTAAGATGACGCTTAAAATTTTATTGTTTCCAATCTGAATTAGTCATTTCTAAATCCTCATTATGAGAAACAAATCATCAATTCAAGGTGTTCGAACGAGGGATTCCTACACTTTTACCTTCCGTCTCACCATCACAACACATGTTACCCCAGTCCGACCAGGGACTACCAGAGGCATCACTAGGTGCCTCTGCTCGCGCATAGCGAAGCAAAAAATACCACCAACGCTGTGGTACAACTTTTTGAAACGGGACGCGGATTTCCGAACGTCCTTCGTGTTGGATGTCCAGAAAAACCAGTCTGGTTTCTCGAAAAAGTGAAAGAGGCGAATGGTACTGGTGATGCCAGTAAATTTTTATGGGAAAGACATCTGTTTCTTAGATAGGATTGCCGAATCGACTGCTTCTTTTTAATGTTGAGATTTAACCGTGGATGGTATTCATTAGCAAGCTGTAGATGAAACGTTTCAATGTATGACTATAGTAGTAATCATCTCTATAACAATCTATTAGGAGCGTCAAATGGAATGATATATTTTTCAAACGTTCATCATCTCGAAATATCAAGAAATTGTCCGGCGAATTGAGAGATCACCGTTCACAGTACCTATCGACGACAACTGACAAACGTCGAGCAACCACGGATCAAGATGGTGCTGAATACTTTATGTTCCTTGGAATAGAGGTCAGCAACGAATATTTGCTGAATGTTTCCAATCTGAATTTGTCGTTTCTAAATCCTCATTATGAGAAACAAATCATCAATTTAAAGTGTTCGAACGAGGGATTCCTACACTTTTACCTTCCCACTCACCACCACAACACATATCACCCCAGTCCAACCGGGGACTACCAGAGGCATCACCAGGTGCCTCAGCTGGCGCATAGCGAAGCAAAAAACGCAACCAACGCTAGATTCAACTTTTTGAATAGGGACGTGGATTCCCGAGCAACCTTCATTTTGCATATCGAGAAAAAGCAGTCTGGTTGTTCGGAAGTGAACGTGGCGAATGGTTCGGGTGATGCCAGTAAATTTCAGACGGGAAAGACTTGTGTTTCTTAGGTAGGATTGCCGAATCGACTGCTTCTTTTTAATGTTGTATCGTACTTGGATATCTAACCGTGGATGGTATTCACTGGCAACATAGATGGTGTTTCATCTATGCTGGCAAGCTGTAGATGGAACGTTTCAATGTATGACTATAGTAGAAATCATTTATAACAATTAATTAGGGGTGTCATATTGAATGATATATTTTTCAAACGTTCATCATCTCGAAATATCAAGAAATTGTCCGACGAATTAAGAGAACACCGTTCACAATACCTATCGACAACTGACAAACGTCGAGCAGCTACGGACCAAGATAGTGCTGACTACTATTATATTTCATGGAATAGAGGTCAGCAACGAATATTTGCCGAAAGTTTCCAATCGGAATTAGTCATTTCTAAATCCTCATTATGAGCAACACCCCAGTCCGACCGGGGACTACCAGAGGCATCACCAGGTGCCTCTGCTTGCGCACAGCGAAGCAAAAAACGCGACAGGTAAAGTTTATGCAAAGTCAGTTGAACAGATCATCAAACGAATGTCGGGCCGCGCTGCCACACTCTTTGAACATTCAAAGGGACCGACGACTTGCGGTGATGTGTTTTTCCAACTGACTTTGCATGAACTATACAAGCTGTGGTATAACTTTTTGAATCGGGGCGCAGATTACCAAACGTCCTTCGTGTTGGATATTCAGAAAAAACAGTCTGGTTGCTCGGAAGTGAACGTGGCGAATGGTTCGGGTGACTTTTGTTTTTTAGTTAGGATTGCCGAATCGACTGCTTCTTTTGGATGAAACGTTTTAATGAAAGATGTACAACCCCATTGGTGATGGCTTACTGGTCATGTTGTTCTCAATTCCCCAATTCAAAAAACTAATTGTTGAAACGTGATATATCACATGAAGTGAATAAACCTTTATCCCCCTGCGTAAATGTGTCACTGGCTTGTTCTATCTTCACCTTGCTCGTATACATCATTCCATGGATTTAACCCCGTTCAATTTATGTGGGGAAATCGATGTTCTGATTTTACGAAAAACTCCATTTATGAATTGAAGGCTGTGAAAATATATCCAATAAACTGCCTCTATGTTATGTTAGTGCATTAAATTCAACTCCATCGAATGACTGATACATTATTATTATTATTAATCTATATATGTATGTATAATTGTATATATCCCTACAACTTTTAGTTTAGTTCATCAGCAATCCATAGGATATTCTTATGAATATAACGATAGTGGCGCTGCTGTCGTTGCATTGTCTTCAACTTCGTTGTAACACATAAAGTTGTATTTATTCATTATGCAGGGTGGTCGAGTTTTAATGACTGAGACTCATCTAGCAATTGATAGAATCTGATAAATATATATTTACGTTACCAGTTAGGAAACGCGTCATTTTGTGTGACGACAGACAAGACCTGTTCGTTTGTATTGCTCAATAGTTGTCTCTGTTCATGGCATGATGTAAAGAGAGTAAGTCATAGAAAAAATCAAGTTCAGCAGTAGAGCAAGGGTAAACGTACAATATTTTTTCTAATTTCGAAAAAAGAATTCGCTGGAACAGAAATAATGACCAGTTCTACATACCGATATTATGTACAAAATGGTTGATTCAAGTTCATATTTCTCAAGTGATAAAGAGGAATCCAAAGGCGGATACAGCTCTCGCGTCCCAATATTCAATATTTATATACAATGTAGTGGGCGTTTCCTGAACATTGGTAACATTTCGGGAGGTGTTTCCTGAAGTATTAATATTAAAAAAGTTTCTATAAATATTTGTAGAAAGAATGCTTCCTAAGGGTGCTCCGACCCTCAAAATTGGGCAACCTGAAACGGTTTTTCCTCACAATTTTCGAAACAAAATTCGAAGCAAAATTTTAATTTAAAATTTTCGGTGGTATCATTCTGGAGTGGTTAACAATCCCATTTCTTTTGTTTTTTTTTCATAGTCTGATAACAAAATATTATACTTGGGAGTGTTTTACGTGAAAAGGTATGCCCAGTTCATATCAATAGGGCTAGTAGTTTTCGAGACCCTTAAGACGGGTTTTCCTCAATATTTCCTCAATCTTTTCGATATTTAAGTGTTTGAATTTTAACATTTGGTACACTTCATGAACTTTCAACGCAGGATAAGATTCTGAGCTCGAATTATCAGAATTTTTTTCAGAAACGTATCCTAAGGTTATTGCGGGTCAAAACATCCATTTTCCAATGACGATCCGATTTATTTTTAACATTATTCTTTTTGATTTATCAGATCCAGGAATCTGATAATGACTAATTCTTCTCGAGAAAATTGCAATTTATCACGCCCATACCCATTATCTCTTATTCATAAGCCATCAAAATTCAATTTGGCGTAAAAAGTATGCAGTGTACCAAATTTCCAGTGTGAGCGGTTGGTGGAATATTGAGAAACCGAAAAACCCGTGATCGAGGTGCTGATGCATCAATGTAGAAAATTGTGCGATTGGTTTCAAAAACAACTTGCCCTATCTATTTGAATTAGGAATACCTTTTTCACGTAAAAAAATTTCAGGTGGTATCCTATTCTGAGATGAGAATGTGGAAAAATACCATAAAAAATTAATTTTTTTCACCTTTAACCCATCCAGTACGTTACGTCCCTGAGTAAAATTGCGAAATTATGAGCTCTAATTCTGATTCAGCATTAGCATCATGCAATTCTTCAATGAACGGTTTCGGAAATATTGAGGATAAACCGTCTCCAGGGTGTACCTACTATTTTAAGGGCCTACGACCTTTTATGAAGCATTTTTTGATAAAAGTTTATAGGAACTTCTTTCCATAAAAATACCTCAGCAATAACCACATGAATATTTTACTGATTATCAGAAAACATACTGTATATGCAAAAAAATATATGAATGTCCACTATCCATTTATTTGGTGAATTGAGCAGAAAGTGCATAGGAAAATCACCGGTTCACGGGGGGGGGGGGGGGCATGACCCCCCATGAATCCCCCCTGGATCCGCCCTTGGAGAAAGCTTATTACGTAACAGGTGTTGAAATGAACATGTCATCATCATCATCATCAGTTATGTAATATTTTACTTTACGCAACTTCCGTCAGTTTTGAAAAGTGCCATTAAATGTCAAAATTAGAAAAATACTATTTTCTCTTTCTATGGTCGTAAATGCTCTGTAAACAGATCGCTATAACTGCTGTTAAACTTTATATTTTTCAACATAAGTCATTAAAACTTGATGATCCTGTCCGATTCTTCAGAATGCAGTACAGTCGTCTTCAGTGAACATATGAATGACGGTATAACTCTATCCTTTGCAATAATAAGAGAGAGAGAGAACAATACTGTACCTACTTTTTTTTGTGTTTGCTATGGATTCTTGATGTTCTTCTCTATATGATGGAATTGAATAAGGACTGGTTTGAAATGTTTTACATATTATGTAATATGTACCTATGTAGTACCTATGTCTTATGAACATTCATGAATAAAAATGTGATGCCTTAACAATATTTATGACAATAATAAAGGACTGCTCAATACTAGGTTTAACTTTTGTATATATGTATAGTTTTGTACTTATACTCATTTTTATTTGGAAATCAAAATGGGAGAGATAATAATGTCTTCATTTTGGTGAACAAATAGTTGTAAGGTTATGTGTATAATTACTGCTTATTTATTGCATTTTTGTGTATTCCTTAGCAAACAATATTTTTGTAATGTGTGGCTTTTATTGAATAAAAGTTCATTTCAAGTAAAATGTATTTTTTTTTATATAGGTTCATAGTAGTTTTTTCCTATATGACCAGATTTGTGAAATGAAAAAATATTGGTGAAATTCCATAAAATTCTGATTTAAACTGGGCGGGAGAGTTCTTCAGTCAACTAATTCTTGTAGATATCAATATATCAACTTATAGACTAATAAATATTTTGTTTTTCAATTTCAATAGAAATATACATGAAAAATCGAGTTTTCTGTAACCACATAATATAATATAACATCATCAGTTTTGTATCAGTACAGTCCTATTCAATAAAATAGGGTACAAGTATTAAAAAGAGTTCTAGTTGTGTTAAACTGGCTCAGCCAACGCTTTGTGTTTTTGAGAACCTAAGACAAGTTTACTGTCAACATTTGGTAAACAATCATTCCAGATAGCCCGTTTTATGCAGAATAAGGTGATGTTAATTTCTCTCTGTAATATACTTGTACGATTTTTTTTTGAATGCGACTGTACTTGGAATTGAAAAAAGAATATATTATTTCAAAATTGTTGAAACATTATTCAGTATAATGGTATATAGTTATCATGCAAGAAATTCAGGTATATAAAGCGTTGTCTCACTTTAAGCGGCCCCCCCTCTATATCTCTGTTATTAGTCATGCAATTCCAACCAAATTTGGTGTGGTATGAAGAACCATATCAGTATGATCAGTTTTAAAGAGATGCACATTATTTTGGACAGTGCCGTGCGTTCTTATTGAACAAAAACGGGGTAGATTTTTCATAAAATCATATTAGGCATTTTTTATAGGAAATCTAACCTCATAATATTGTTCCTCATGCTTTCAAACCACCATATGCAAAAAATCATCTAATTCCGAATTAACAGGATTGGCTTAATTTTTTTCATTTTCAGTCTCGAATAAATAGTGACTTCAAATCAACTACGAATTTTGGAACGTTCGATGGTCCCGGTAGTTGGAAAACGAGTTATTCTTTTTTATGTTGAACTCACCGTTTCCGAGTAAATAATTATTACGTTCGCAAAAATGCTGTTTAGATGTGCCTGTTTTTCTGAAACCTTTCATAGACATCTTATGAAAATCCACATATGTGGGTTTGAAACCATGAAGAACAATATTCTGAGGTCAGTTTTCCTGTGAAAAAGAAACTGACCCCTATTCATTTCAATAAAAATGCACGGCACTGTCTAAAACTAAAATGATGTTTATCGTTGAAGAACTGGTCATATTGATGATTGTTCATACCGATACAAATTTGGTAAAGATGGCACCACTGATAGCTGAGATATAAAGGGGGAGCCGTTTGAAATGAGACACGCTGTATAAGGAAGCAAATGTCCCTTAAATGTGAAAATATTACAATAGACTGCTGCTGATAAACTTCCTGTTATGAGTAATAGTTAATCGATTGAAGTAAACCAGGGAATATTGAAAAAAAAAGTCAGTAGTATACCTCTTGCTCCCAAAATAATTTGGGAATATCCACCTGCTATTGGGTAACCTACAGACAGTATCCAAAATACTCTTGCATTTCTTTTTGTTCCTATTTTCAGATCATTTTATTTCAATTTCAATGAACTGAGAACATACATCAGAGAAGTGCACAAACAACGGCCCGGACTGTAACTTTTGAAGATAGGGTTTTGAAAAGTGGTGGGCAGCTAGTATACCAAACTGCTCATTAATTGACGAAACAGAGAAAGAAGTTTTGGTATTGTGAAGTCACACCCATTGAGCATGGAAACTTCGAACGCAAATATCTTTGTAATCGTTTGAAATAACCCTATCAAATCCGGTATCGTTGAATTCGTCATGATAATCCCTAACCGAATATGGAATTCAATACAGGGTGTCCCATTTAAAAATCAAAAGTTGGGGTCGTTTCCGGTGAAACTGGAAGTGATAGGAGAAAAATTGTTTCATCAATTAATGAGCAATTTGGTATACTTGCTACCCACCAATTTCCAAAACCCTATCTAGAATAATTCAAAAGTTATTACAATCCTGGCCGTTTTTTGTGCACTTCTCTGTATACAGGGTGTTCCCTAAAGACGTGCTAATATCTGAGGGGGTGAAGGCATTATTTGACTTTGAGCTCCGAAAAAATGCATTGCAAAAATTTTGTTTCTTGACCCCCCCTGGTACTCACTGAAATGACGCCCCTGCAGCCAATAGCCAGTCAATCTACTTTGTTGCCATGTGAAACTTATAAGTTTGTCTCCAAATGTTATAAAACCAATTTTGTGTGATTTTTCTATTGGAAATTCCATCATTTTCTGTTCACCCAATGTCAGTGTCAATTTTGATTACCAATTTCTTTCAAATCACTTGGAACGACGTTGAATAGCAACAAACTTTTGCTGCCTAGCTAGAGAAAGTACACCTCAATTATTGCTGCCTGTTGAAAGTGTAATAGAAAGGCCACTTTTCTATGCCGTTTATTGGAGAAAAAAAAACTATTATTTGGAACTAAATGCGATCATATGGTATCAATACATGTTGAATACAGGGCTCTGAAAGTTCGATTGAAAAAAGAAACATTCTGAATCTGAGGAAATAGGTATAGTTCATCTAAAAACAATTGCAGATTCTCGTGCCGCACCTGCAGTCACTTCAAAGGAAACTGCATACACGCCGACGCCGCACAGTGCGAGATATTATGCAATTGATATTGGATATACATTAGGTATACCTACAAGTGGCGGGGGTGAAGTGGTCGTTTTCAATTATGGCTTATTCATTTCTTTTCTCGTTTCTTCTTTATGTAACCCCGCGCGTGTACAGTTACAAGTCGAAGATACAAGCGTATACATTTTGTATGTACATTATGTGCGCTGGTTATATATACAGAGAAGTGCACAAAAAACGGCCAGTGCTGTAAATCATTCGGGATCGGATTTTGAAAATTTGGTGGGTAGCAATAGCACTCATACCAAATTGCTATTTATTGACAAATACCATTTTTGTACTATATGACTTCCGGTTGTACTGGAAACGACCCCAACTTTTGATTTTCAAATGGAACTCCCTGTATTTTATTCGATAATCGGTTAGTGATTATCATAACGAATTCGACGATACCAGGTTTGATATGGTTATTTCAAACGATTAAGAATAAGATATTCGCGTTCGGAGTTTCCATATGCTCAATGAGAGTGACAGAGAAAGAAGGTTTGATATTGCGCCGTCACGCAGAACCCAGCCATAAGCATATAATATGGAAACTTCGAAAGCAATATATTATAGCAGACCTTTTTGATTTTCTTTTGTTTTCACCTTTCTCTTATTTGAACATTATATGAACATAATAATATATCAATATACATAATACCGATGCGGAATTATAAATTATATCCTTCATTCAATGATAAAAAATATTAGTATTATTCCATTTGAAAGAAAATTGTTATGGCTACTTAAACTTTCCCAAGTTTGACAGATTTTCCGGATCAAGGAATATTTATTTGTTTTACTATATATAGGCAGCAAAGAATAGTAAATTGACTGCCATGGCTGATAGTTCATATGATATAGCCGAGCGTAGCGAGGCTAGGAACTCTGCCAAGGCAGTCAATCTACATTTGCTGCCGTGTGAAACATATATTTTTTTCTCCAAATGTTATAAAAAACATCTCGAAAACTGCTAGACTTTGGGTAAGTATAGAGAGAGCTAATGAAGATCATCTCAATATAACAAAAGAGATCTGAAAAAGCAATAAAAAATATAGCTCTCCATTTGAAATAGCGAAGTTGATGTCCACTTCCGGTATAACCGGAACAGGGCTAAGTCGATAATCCCTGTGTACGCATTGTCAGATCAGTGTGATTTTTAGAACTCCAAATACGCCTAATGTGCGGTTTAGATGGAATAAAACAGACCATATATATATACTTATCTGGAATAAAACCCTTATTCCTATCAGGGCACTCAGTCCATTAGTTTAGATACTAATACATGCTAATACCACTTTTCTGTCATACTAAGCAAAAAGGTTGTACCTATCTGACATTTTGGTCGAAATTGATATAATTATATTTTTCTAATTTCGACATATAATTTGACACTTTTCAAAACTGACGGAAGTTTTGAAACGTCTTACTTTACGTAACCAGTTGCGTAAAGTGAAATTTTACATAACTGGTGATGTAATGTTCATTTCAACACCAGTTACGAAATAAGAATATGGATGGACGAAGAGAAATTGATTCAAATCTGTAGCAAAATCCCATTGTTACACAAAACAACGCGTTTCCTAACTGATTACGTAAATATCTATTGTCTATCTCGAAATACTCATGCATCTTCTGGTATGGTTTCAAAGTCATAGCGACAAAAATAAGAGCACAAATCATGTTTTAAATTTGTCATATATGCAATGTTTGAACACTTCACCAAGCTCAGATGTCGTATCTGACATTTACCAGAAGTTCAAATTTATGTTGTATGGGACATTATGTTGAGCAAATTTAAAAAAATCATTCAACAATGACATGCACATGATATAGATAAAAGCTCTGATACAGATTATTATGAGTTTCTAATAGAAATCATGGATGATGGTATATTGATTGAAACAGAAAAACGGCAATATCTCAGAATCAATTGTTTGTCAGATATGACCTTTTTGCTTAGAATGGCAGTTTTGTCTTTGGCATTAGCACTTTAGAAGTTATTTTATTCATTATGCCACATCTAGTAATGAGAGTTTGTTGGGGCAGTTGTTTTTGAATTTGATGAATTGGAACTATTGAAAATCAACACCAACAGTTCAGGAAGTTTTTATTGAAAATATTTGCATCATATGGACACTGAACAATAATTTAAAATATATATACATCAGGAGACAATACTTCAAACATATATTTTCGTTTAAAAATATCACTGGATTTATTAGTACTAATGTAACTTGGACAAGGCAGAACATGTCATTAATTTTATGAATAATCAACAATAAAAATTACAGATGTTCAAAATCATGTACCTCTTCACTAATGTGATAATCATATAATTGATATAAATAATAAATAATGAATTATATGCTAGCAAATGAATAAAATTGTTCAATAAAAATTCAAGTCAATTTAAATTTTAAACACTCAGATAAAGTATACCTATGTAACTTTTACAGTGTTGGTAGGAAAACTGATATTTTCAAGAAGGTTATGTAAGCATTGTAATTCAATTATGTTTTCAAGATTCATATTTTCCATCCATATCAAAACTACTAATGTACTATTTTGATTGAGAAATAATACTTCAATAACAGTGTATTCAAATTGTATTATGGAACTGGGAAATACTCCAAAAATGGATGGCAGTAAATTGAATTTTCTGACAATAATTTGATAATCAGATGAATAAATATAGAGATGAAATGTTCAAATACAACTTTCTGTAACCTTGATAATCATATCTATAATAATCTTGTGATTTTTTATGATCCAAATTTTCATTATTTACAAATTGAGTTTTGATATTGAGGTGACAATTCCATCAAACAAATGTGAACCTGAGAAATGAGGAATAAATAACTTTCTAGTCAGAATTAATACAAACATTGATACCAATCTTGCAAAGATATCAATGATGAATGAATTAGAAAGTTGTTTTGTCATTTTGTGAAAAGTTTGACTGAAGAACCAAAAAATATTTACAAAATTAAAACTTTATCCAAGTAACTATACTACACCTATGAAAAAATAAAATCAAAATTATTCTTTTCCTTAGTTCAAAGTTCAGTCATATGTAATATCATACTTGTAGCATTTAAAAAAAGCAACTGCTATCAAGATGAAGTCAAACAGTAAAAATTAATAAATTACTATCCTTTTAGATCTACATCAAAGATTTGCTATTCAAATTGACTCTTTCCATTATAGATTTCACATAAGCTTCATGAATTTGTTTTGTGAAATCTTGGTTATTTTTCAAAAGATAAATAAGAGCCTGTGCTAGCTGCTTTTCTGTCAACAGATCAATTTGATCCTCTTGACTGTCTGATGAATTATTCAGTGTTTCCTTGGCTTTAGGAGTAGTGAACATCATTGGGGTCATCAAATGAGGTTTGTGTATATCCATAAACTGAGCAAATGGTGAAGATCCTAGAAGATCATTATTATCTTCTTTCTCAGTCTGAGTTCTGCTTTGATTCTGCAATAAATAGGCAAGGGGCGAAGTGGTTTGTGGTTGAGATTTCTGAAGTGAAGAAGAGTGCACACCTACCCCATTTTCTGGGTATATTTTAGTATCAACAGAGCTGCTACCTGGAATAGAGATTGGAACACTTCTCCTATCTGCATTGTTTGAGGGGCATTGTCTGGTATTCAGGTGGTCTTGGGGTGTTATAGAACGTTGCTGCTTTTCTATATGTTCCACACTATGAGCTGGATTGGACATTAGCCTTTGCAAAACATTTTCACCATTACCACCAGAAACACTAGGTTTTTGAGATGTCTTAGTGCTTGCTTTTGCAAAAAAATCCATGACACTCTGAGATGTAACATCTGGCACTCTAGGAGTAGATGAAAATGCTGGAAGTCCATCATGCTTTGTAGGTGTTCTATTGAAATCTTCTTGAGCCCTTGTTAACATACTGAATATATCGACGCCGTTCTCGAGTTTCTTCGATTTGTCGTCGTTTTTGTCTTTTAGTCCTTCCATGAGAGATTCTATCATAAAGGTAATGCGTATACACTCTTCTCGATTAAAAAACCAAATACCAAATATTTTGCTTTTGGAATTTCTGTATAATAGAAAAGGTACTTGCATCTGATAATCAAAGTCTTTTACAATCGGTTCCAATAAGTTGTCGGTATTCAACCTGTTCATAACCATCATGCTATGAAATGGTTCCCCATTTCTACTATATATAAATAGCGCACCTTCAGTTTCTGTTTTCTCCCATTCGTTAATAGATGTGTTGAAAATATATAATGCGACGTGAGTAGCACTTGCTAAAATATTTTTTACATATGGATCTACTCTTTTGATAGACGTTACGCTCATACGCAATTCAACTGAATCAGCCATGATTTGTAACTGACAAGTGACAAATTGAATCAGACAAAATGACAAGTCAAAAGTGACAAAAGACAAGAATGACAGATGATGTACAATTCTCAAAACCTGACCAATCACCAGGAATTTGTAGTGATAAAAAGCCAAATAAACATGCATAAAGCTTTCAATCAACACGCTTTTACTCGCGATAGAAAATAGTTCTCCCTTCTCCCATCTGACGACGATAGCTCTGAGCGGTTTGTTTTGATGGATGGATGGATTTATGCCAACTACCAATGAGAACAAAAAGAAACAAATTTGAACCAATAAAAATGAAGTAAGCAGACCACTTTGACAGCTTTCATAAATTTCGATACGTGACGTACGCTTCTATAACGCTTATAACGCGATAATTTGACAACTGTCACCGTCACTGGCGTCACTACCGCCCAATGAACTCAATAGTTGCGTTTTATTTATCTGATTCCGCCACCGGAATCAGTTTGATGTGTCGTTTTATTTGCAAATTTTCCGATTCCGGTTGCTACTTTCCATTCCGTCTCACTACAAGGAATGATGTGGAATGACTGTTGACAGGTGTCAAAAAATCAAATTAGATTGACGAAAAACGAACCTTTTGAAAGTAAAAGACATTTAAAAGACATTCTCAGCGTGAGTTTCACTAGTTCATGATTCTTTCAAGTAAGACAGGTTTCATATGTTCATTCCCAGATAAAATAAACTCTGTCGCTCTCAGAGAAGTTTCTCCAATCACCACAATCACTGCTCCAAATATAAGTTGATACATTTTCTAGATTCTTAACTCTAGTATTATGCTTTTGAAATTATTTGGATCTCCCATATACAAATATAACCTCTTATGTAAATTCTCTCAAGCAATGTTATGAAGTTTCTCGTTTTATTTGTAAACGTCATTCTGTTCCCACCACCGCTACCAGAATGGAACAAATAAAACGCAACTAATATAAACAACTAATTTTCGAGTTTTCTTTAAAATGTGAGATTAAAGTGAGGAATGTTTAAAAAAAGTAGTGTCCTTTCTATTTAGAAGGGATATTATAATATGTTCCTTCCTATTTGAAAACAGTATTGTGGAGGCATTTACTGTTGAGTGTGATAGTGATTCGCTATTTCAATGACGTTTTTTTTTTTTCAGGATCGGCCGTGAGCGAAGCTTTCGGCCGGAAATTTTCTGTAGACATGATTCCGCGCCAATTATAAGAATATTGCTATTATTTCTATGATGTGAAAATAATCGTTATTCGAAATTACCGCCAATATCAGTGTTATGAACTTATCGCCATTAGCCTAATCGCTTTGATTGGTTCATAGGAATCGCCTATGCATATGTCTGGGCAAAACGAATTCGTGCTTTTCATAGTGCTTTGACAGTTGGCAACTTGAACCAAAATTTCTAACCTAAAAAATAAAAATGAATCGAAAACGAAAATAAAATTCAAAATGGAGTGTGGAGCATAATATTGATGTTTTGTTTCATCGATATTATATTATAAAATAAATCGGTGGATGTAAAAAATTACGAAAATATAAGAAAAATGTCGCGATCTATTCGTGCAGAAACTCGCAGTCGAGCAAAAGATGATATTAAGAAAGTTATGAATGTTATTGACAAAGTTCGACACTGGTGAGTTTAATCAGGTAATCTGGTATGGATTCCATCCATTGAACCTAATATACATTATAGATTATTTTTTCTGTTTGAATATCTTGAATTGTTCTAGAACAAACTCATAAAAAGGTTTTCTTTGAAGGGAGAAAAAATGGGTAACAATTGGAGATACCACTATGAAAATATTCAAGTGGGTTCCAGTAACAACACATGAACCAAAAAAACACCTGAAACATAGAGAAAACAAGGAGAATCTCCGAAAAAGTACTGTTTTGGATACTTCTAATTCAAACTCAAATTTCAGCATTGCTGAGGATTCAAATACTTGTGAGTATCCAGGTGACTTGCTAACAAATAATGATAATAATAATTTCATTCTCAAGGTTTTTCAACAGTCAGCGACTCTCAGGGACCAACAGATTTTTCATCATCCCACATGACTTTTTCTGAAGACTCAAATTCACAAAGCAGTGAGATGGTTCCTATGAAAAGACTTAAATCAGATTGATGGTTAATTTTAAGTCTTATGGATAAGGATGGAGCAATCTGAAATTCTGTCACCCACCATGTTGGTGATATTATTTAATCAATCTATGATTTTTGTAAATTTAAACTTGTTCTAGAGTGTGTGTTCAGTATTTATATTAATTTTAATGATTTTATACTCCAAACTGATAATTGTATATAATTTCCTTAGATAGGGTTATTTGGGATTAAAAGATTCTGAAAATGAGTTTTGAGGATTTCTGTTATTAGTGTTATTAAAAAATATCCAAACACTCTTGATATGTATCCTCCACAAGATCTGGACACCCTTTTTTGAGCTGTTGGTAAAATATCTGAGACATGTGGCACCTGAAAATGAGTTTATTTACTATAGAAAATTTCCTGGAAAACCTTACTTGGAAGTTGTTACAATTAATGTGATATATTTTTCATCACCTCATTTCAAAAACAGGATCCTTCTTTCACCAAGTGTATATCGGGTGTCAACAAATCTATTAGACAAGTCATAACTTCTAGACCATTAGGTGTATCAAAATGAGATTTGGTATAGGTAAATGGTATGTGGAGAGGAGAATTTTCACATATTTTCCACTTTCCGGTCACTTCCGGTTTCACCGGAAATGGCTCCGGTTCTAAATTTTTAAATAAAACACCCTGTATATTGTAACATTTTTGGATTTCTGAGACCATTCTAGATAAGAATGTGACATTTTCGAAAGTGTTTATGCCTACTTAATTTTTTCGGAGTCACTTTTGAAATTACATCTAGGTGGCCATGATTTGAAGTAAACTAATCTGAGGACCTCAGGTGATATCAGAAAATTACAATCGCGAAGTTTTTGTGACAAGTATGGTAGATATGAATAAGACAAGTTGGCAAAATTACCTTTTCGTGTCTAACTATTATTTTTCAAATGGCGATCATTTTTTGACAAGCACTTTCCGAAAAAAGGATATTTTGACGAATCTAATGATACTAATTTATTTGCGATTGAATTACAAATAAGAACGAACATAAATTTAATATTACTGATGTAAATACTTCATAATAATTTATTTAGTTTTGTCAAGTGTGCCATGGATAATTACTTTCGAAATAACTGCAGAATATTATGCCTATCCTCGCCACACTTGACAAAAGTAAATAAATTATTAGGAAGTATTTTCGTCGTAATAAATAAAGTATCGTTAGAATCGTCAAAATATATCCTTTTTTCGGAAAGTGCTTGTCAAAAAAGGTCGCAATGTGAAAAATAATAGTTAGACACGAAAATGCAATTTTGACAACTTGTCTCATATATCTATCATAGTTGTCACTAAAACTTCGCGATTGTAATTTCCTGATATCACCTGAGGTCCTTAGATAAGTTATTACTTCCGAGCATGGCCACCTCTAGATGTATAATTTCAAAAGTGACTCCGAAAAAATTAAGTAGGCATGAAAACTTTCGAAAATGTCACATTCTGAACTAGAATTGTCTCAGAAATCCAAAAATGTAACAATATTCAGGGTGTTCCATTTAAAAAATCAGAACCGGAGCCATTTCCGGTGAAACCGGAAGTGGCCGGAAAGTGAAAAATATGTGAAAACTCTCCTCTTCACATACCATTAACCTATACCAAATCTAATTTTGATACACCTAATGATCTAGAAGTTATGACTTGTCTAATAGATTCGTTGACACCCGGTATACAGAATAGGGCATTTCATTACTTATACCACAGATTAACAAATACTCTATACCAATTGGTAATATTTCAACTATAATATCTTGAGCCCAAAATATGAAGAATGAAACCAAATCCACTATATAAAAGGTGTCCCCTGTCTGTTACAGGGTGTTTGATTATTTATTATCAAAAATTTATAATTTATGGTATTATTTATTTTTGTTAATATATGGATTTGAGTTTCATTTGCATAATGCATGGAATCTAATGATCCAAAACAAGACATTATTCTAGAAAAAGTGTGGAATAGCTATTAATATCTATGTGGACTGCATTTGAAACTATCCTTAATTCATTCCATCAAAATTTAATTATTGTGCTGCTTCATCTTTAACTTGGAATATCTTGATAAATAATGACTTTATCACTATGAAGGAAAATCTCGATATGTACAGTCGTATTAAAAAAAAAAGCGTACAAGTATATTGGAGGGAGAAATTAAGGGCTATCGGGAATTAATGTTTACCAAATGTTATTGACAGTTAGAGTAATCATAGGTTCTCAAAAACACAAAGCATTGGCTGAGCCAATTTTACACAACGAGAACTAGAATGCCGAAATCTTCTTTGTTTAATACTTGTACGCTTTTTTATTGAATACGACTGTACATAGAAAATATTGGCGAATCGAAAATTGTGATAAAATGGCAATTCCGCCAGTGGCGTAGAATTAGGGAAGGATCATCCAGTCACTTTCTCCTTTCGTACGCCTCTGGTAGTAGCCAAAATCGTTCATTTTATAGGAGATTTCACACAATTCAGTAGTGTGTATAGTATCTACAGGGTATGACACGACGAGCTTACACTATCTCTATATCGAGAATCAGTCGGGAAAAATCTATGAAGATTAATGCATGCTTATATTTTAGAATACTCTCTCTTCATTAAAAATATTTTTAGCGATGTAGTGTTGCCCCTTCTATCAAAAAGTAGCAACAACTTTGTTATTTCAAATAGAATACCCTGTATTTTATTGCATTTTTAGATTCTCCCTGAAGAGCTGATTTCATCGATACATCAACACGTGGGGTCTATCGGAAATGATTACACAGATATATATATATATTAATTTATAGGGTGTTCAAAATCGAGATTTTTCAACTTATAAGGATTTGTTTGTGTCGAAACTATTCCTTATCGGCCAAAACGCCTCGCATATCCTTATCTCAACTTTTGATTTACTATTTATACTGATATTTAATCGGAACAGATACAGAGGGTGATCAGAATTCTGAATTTTGAACCATGCACCCTGTATCTGTCCGATTAAATATCAGTAAATAGTGATATCAAAAGTTGAAATAGGGACATGTGAGCCGTTTCGACCGATAATGAATAGTTTCGACACAAAAAAATTCTAAAAAAGAAAAATCTCGGTTTTGAACACCCCATATCTCATATCTCTGTAATCATTTTCGATAGACATCAAGTGTGATATATTGATGAAATCAGCTCTTCCGGGAGAATCTAAAAATGCGATGAATTACAGGGTGTTCTATATGAAATATCAATGTTGCTACTACTTTCTAGTAGAAGCGGCAACACTGCATTGTCGAAAATTTTCATTTTCATTTTCATGAATTTCTTCCGACTGATTCTCGATATAAAGATAGTTTAAGCTCTTCGAGACATACCCTGTATACTTCCCGCCAAATATGACAATGATATACGTCAAATACAGGGTAAATTTATATATGGTGGATCCCCTTCAGTCAGATTGAAGTAGGTACTATTGATTCGTTAAAAAATTCGTGCTATCGATGAAATTTCGTTGTTTTTGTCATGGACTAATACTTTTACAAATTATACGTCTCCTCAGATGGTGATTTCCATAGACTCCAATGATTGATGTCCAATAGTTCATCTTTGCATGCGCATCTCAACAATCCGTATTTACTTTGATTTGGATCCTAGCCACATAGGCGTATGGCCGGGAAATGGATATAGAGGGTCTACTACCCAGCCAACCATCCTGTGACATCAACATCTGTGTGATGTAACAACCTTGCATAAATGCAATATCTCGTTAACACATCTTATCGACGTAGATTCGATATCAACGTCGCAAATTGACATCGCAACCAGGAAACTATGTTATGTGGCAGCGACTTCTTCAAACTACATCTCTTCGACGTTAACTAAATAATTCACATTGATATCCTCATGAGATATCTTTGTGACCTGCGTGAGTGTGACGCAGACATGCGCAAAACGAACACACATGGCATGGCCATGTCTAGGAACGACGGTGAGTTCAATCACAATATAGGTAATATTGTAATTATCTCTGAGATAGGAATATTGCAATCTAAAACAAGGTGGATGAAAGATCCCAAGATAATGTTAGTGTGTTTGATATGTATCATTTATGAATAATGTATATTTGTATTGCTATTGCTAAGTTTTGTATCATCTGTTTTTACTTTCGGAAAATAAACATTTTCTTCGTAAAGTTGAATAAATATTATTATTATTATTATATACGAATATCACAGGTACGGCGACCACATCATCGATGTCGCAGTATTTGTTATATGAAATGTACACTTGTATGTGACCTGGTAGTGATTTTTCATGTGATGTCACATTTCATGTCGAACGACGTCACAGTGATGTTGCTTGAGTCGGATATTTTCACATCGCCACGTTGTATCGGTAACATGTTTGTGACTTCGAATGCGATATCGCATGTCACAAAGTGATGTGGCGTATACATCACTTATACATCTCATGGTTGACTGGGTATGGAAGATGGAGTGTTGAATATTGAAATAATTTCCATCTGATATGTTTGTTATGGTTGTCGTTAGAAATCTTGAATTATCAACAGATTGATTTCGATCAGTGATCTGAATAAGAGTCTTGATCGTTTTATCGATATAATTATTAGTTATACACAGGGTGAGTCAATAGTGTGTTCTCCTTGTATATAAAAAAATTCGAATACAACAGTTATAGAATTCAATGAGAGCTATTATACCTAAAATTATTTTCATATCTATAGGATGTTCGAATTCCAAGATATCGGCTGATGATGGGTGTTTTTAAATGGGACATCCTGTATATCATTGCATTTTTTTAATTTTTCCTGAAGAGCTGATTTCATCAATGCATCACAAGTGATGGGGTCTAGCGAAAATGATTACAGAGATATAGGGTGTTCAGAATCGAAATTTTTTTAATTTGGGATTTTTTTGTGTCAGAACTATTCCTTATTGGTCGAAACGACTTACATGTCCCTATCTCAACGTTTGATTTACTATCTACTGAAATTTAATTAGAATAGATACAGGGTGATCAGAAATCTTGAATTTTGAACCACCCTGTATTTGTTCCAATTGAGTGTCAGTAGATGGTGAAACAGAAGTTAAGATAGGGACATATAATTATGTAAGCCGTTTCGACCAATAATAAATAGTTTCAACACAAAAAATCACATAGTTGAAAAATATAAATTTTGAACACCCTATATCTCTATAAACATTTCAGATAGACCCCAAGTGCGATACATTGATGAAATCAGCTCTTAAGGGAGAATC